GGCTCCTATAACGGTAACTACCGACCTGAAAATGTCCTAGACCCTGACCCCTGAGCACCCTCAAACCTAAACCCTAAACCCCAAACTCAAAACCAGAACTACCCTAAACCCTAAAGCCTAAACCCTCAACCTCCAACTCAAAACCTTGGCTAAGCTTGGAATCTCCTTAAGGCCCCTGCAAAAAGTGAGCTCCTTAAGGGACCGTGAGAAAGCCACCCTGAAAGCAACCCTTAAAAAGGAAGCCGGTAAGGAAACCCCGCGGGCACCCTCGAAGGAACCCTTCACGGTTTTGGGTACGAGGGTTTAGGGCTTAAGGTTTGACGGTTTAGGGTTCACCAGCAACCCCCCAAGTACCCTTTAATAGAGCCCTTATGGTCCTTAATAGTAAGTACTTAGGGTAAAATAGAGGGTAGTTGCGGGGTGCTGGCAAACCCTAACCTAAACCCGAAGAACCCAAAATCCTAAACCCTTAAAGACCCCTTATAGTAGCCTTATGGACCCCTTTAAAGGAACACGTAATTCCCAAACCATATGGGGTGATGGCAAACCCTAGAAATTGCTATTATGATTTAGGGAAGTATCCCCCATAACAGTACATAGGACCCCTTGGGTAAGGTTCATACCGGGGTCTGATGATCTCAGCACCTCTGGGTTTGAAGGAGTCAGGGTTTAGGGTTGAAGGGGGTTGAGGGCTCCAGGTTGACCTCAACCCTAAACAACACCTACCTATACATGTGTGTATATAGATAGATAGATAGATAGATAGATAGATAGATAGATAGATAGATAAATAAATATGTAGATATACACATGTGTATATATATATATATACACATACGGCTGTATATGCTCGATGGAAGGCTTTCGTTTCTTGCTTGCAGAGTTTCAGGTTGGCGAGATGGGACTAGAACCCTAAACCGTACTGTTTTTTGGGTACCTACTTTTCTATATAACAGATCCTAACCATAAAACTAGGTATCTCAACTTAAAAAAGGGGGGGTATAATACTGTGTGGTACCCTCAGCCTTTACAAAACATTGGCACTGGTACTGGACGCTGCGAGCCGGCCACATCTGAACCTAAACCTTGTGCCTCAGACTGGGAATCCCGTAGAGCTCCCGAGCTTCGAGCTGATGCGATGCGAAACCATAGCAACTTCTACAACGTGTAGCACTTTTTTCGCTTCTGTGTGGAAAGTGCCGAATGCCCGAGTGCAGATACTCCAAACGTGCCTAGAGTTCCCGGGACCAGCGGCAAAGGACTTCCGGCTTCCGATTGAAACCATGGGACTTTAAAGATTCTTGAACCCTAAACCGTCAGTCCGAAGTACTGCTGATGATTTAAATCCTGCATTACCTTAAGGACCCTAAACTATGCGAATTATGGTATATTCCTTATTCTGAGTAAGGCAGGATTTATATCATCAACCGTACCAGCGGTTTCGGGGTCTAGAGTGTAGGGCTTGCCTAGACCCCAAAGAACCTACCTTTTTAGGGACTTATAAAAGGACATCATATTAAGGAAACCTAAAAAAAGTAGGTTCTTTGAGGTCCAGGTAGGGTCAAAAAACCGCAAAGTCCCAATACCCACCAGAGCAGATGGCATCGGCCCGTTCGATTTGAGCAACACGCACCGGATACCTTGAAGGAAGGTCACCGTTTCACGGTTTAGGGTTTAAGGGTTAAGGGGTTAGGGTTTAGGGGTTGAGGGGTTTAGGGTTTAGGGTTTAGGGTTTAGGGGTTTAGGGGTTTAGGGGTTTAGGGGGCTTAGGGGTTTTGGGGGGTTTGGGTTAAGGTTAAGGGGTTTAGAGCTTAGGGTTTTCCTGCTCACCCTGATCCCAGATTAAAGCTTAGTTGCTGAGTCCATAGTAAAAATTCAGCTACTGAGAAAGTAATTTTGGTGGTGGTAGGGGGCCCTAAACCCTAAACCCTACCCTAAACCCTAAGAATCCGCGTAAGGTACTTAGACCTTTGGGTAAGGCTCTAATCTTTGAGTCTTCTACAGCGGCCAGGAGGGCCCGTTTTATCAAGTATGATAGGGCTTCAGCGCTTACTAAAGCAATATTAGGGCTTAGGGTATAGGGCTGCAGGGCTTAGTGGTTTTGAGTTTAAGGGAGGGTTCTGGGAATTGAACTTTTGAGTGTAGGGGTGAGCGACCCGGACAAGCTTTACATTCGCTTTAATTTCTTCGCCCTACAGCGCTGGGTTTAGGGCTTAGGGTTTAGGCTTTAGGGTTTAGGGCAAAAGGATACAGGGTTGACCCTCCAGGGTAAGCCCAGAACGGCGCAAACGCCTCAAGCTCCGTCAATCCGTTCACGCATGCCTACATCCTCAGCACCTAGACGGCCTTCCCGAAACGGAACTAATGGACACCTTCGGAATGCGTCTGGAGCACTGATATACGGATTCAGACGCTTGCTAGGTCTCAACCAATCCGAACGAATAGTCCACAAAGCGGCCCCAAAAAGCTTAGACGAAGTTATGTCCTTGGGCACGAAAGCCCCAAAGTACAACCTGAAGAGTCTGAGGTGCTACGTATGAAACCAATCTCCAGCTTATGACTATGACCACCAGAACCTCAAGTCAAGATTGTACTCAAAGCGAATGTGGACTCTTTAAGATGGTGTAATATAAGGGGGGGTGTGGCGTACGTGGGCATGTAAAAGAAATCCTAAACTGAAATCAACCTAAGACTAAACCCTAAACCCTAAACCCTAAACCCTAACCCTAAACCCTAAACCCTAAACCCTAAACCTTGCCCCGGTGCAGGCTATCCCGCGCTCGTCCGTCTCCCAGCTGCCCAAACTCGCCCCAACCCCAGCAACGGACGATGCCAGACATCTCAGAGAGGAGATAGAAGGCTTCGGGTTTAGGGTTTTAGG